TCATATGCATTACTGAACTCATCTTCAAATATTTTGATCATTTTATATTTAATTTTATATATGTGTATCGAAAACGATTGAAAACATTTACTTCATATCTTTCTGTTGTTAAAATTATTCAATTTACTTGTTGATTGTGTTCGTATGAAATACTAATCGTAACCATTTTATGTATCTGAATTCTTGTTATCATGGAATCTATGACGTGCATTTCATTCTGTTTGGGTCTTTTAATTTGAAAATTATTTAGTTTAGTGTGAACACGTATCAATATTTAAACTGACAAATATTATCCAATACCGGGATATAAATCTAAAAGGTAGTTTCTAGCAATGATTTGAAAGTAACAGAATTCCTTTCAACCCAGATTTGTAGGGTGTCCTGTTCAAAATTACATTATTGTCAGCGCTGAAAATATTCATGCTATTTGTTCCTAGTTTCGTTTGGCAGATACTCTGAATCGGAAGTTTTCGTCATTATCGATTGTTATTTATTACTATCATTATTAGAAGCAAGTTCACTTTTTAAACGCTTACTGAATGGATCATTGACTCATCTCTTCTTTCTTTCTTCGCTTTTCCATTTCTCTTTGTTCACAATTATGACATAAATTACTCGAATCAAGCTGAAAGAAGGGTTAACAGAAGAAGACTTTTTTTAACTATTATTATTATTATTATTATTGCAATATATCGACTGACGTATTGTACATAAATTTATGCTTGTGGACATGAATCACATACATTTGAATGTCCGTATGCTAAACAATACCATGTATTAAGGTTGACATTTACAATTACAACGCAAACGACCATATGGACCCATTTGTAAATTTCTAGTCGTTGTGATAGGTGCTATTGTCGTTGTTGTTGTTGTAATCGGTGGACAAGGATGAGTTTTGTTCGGTTGGTACGGTCGTGAATGTTCTATAGTACCCCTGAAAAAGAAGTACTGAATATGGTGAGCAGTGACTATAGTCGACAAATCGATTGATATGCGATTGATTTGAGAAAATGATTTTGGTGTTGGTCAGTCTTTTGTAATGTGTAATCATTAGCCTAAGGCAGCAGTGAATGTCAGCCGAACAAGAGCAGAGAAAGTTAAGGCGCAAGCCGAGTATACAGAAGCAAACAGGGAAGTGAAGAAGAGCATCAGAGCTGACAAACGAAAATATGTGGAAGATCTAGCAATGACGGCGGAAAAGGCTGCAAGAGAAGGAAACATGAGACAATTGTACGAAACAACAAAGAAGCTCGCCGGGAACTATCGTAAACCAGAACGACCAGTGAGAAGCAAGGAAGGCAAAATAATCAGCAACACTGAACAACAGCGAAATAGGTGGGTAGAGCACTTTCAGGAACTCTTGAATCGACCAGCTCCACTGAACCCACCCAACATCGAAGCAGCATCCAAGGACCTCCCAATTAATATTGGCGCACCTACGATTGAGGAGATCAGTATGGCCATCAGACAAATCAAGAACGGCAAAGCAGCAGGACCAGACAATATTCCAGCAGAGGCAATGAAAGCAGATGTAGAAGCAACTGCGAAAACATTTCACATCCTCTTCAAGAAGATTTGGGATGAGGAACAAGTACCATCAGATTGGAAAGAAGGATACCTGATCAAAATACCAAGGAAAGGCGATCTCAGCAAGTGTGAAAACTACAGAGGCATCACTCTTCTTTCAATATCAGGCAAAGTCTTCAACAGAGTATTGTTAAACAGAATGAAGGACTTCGTAGACGCCCAACTTCGAGATCAACAGGCCGGATTTCGTAAGGATCGATCATGTACTGACCAAATTGCTACATTACGGATCATTGTGGAACAATCAATTGAATGGAACTCACCACTCTACATCAACTTCATCGACTACGAGAAAGCAGTCGATAGCGTGGATAGAAAAACACTGTGGAGGCTTCTTCGACACTACGGTGTGCCTGAGAAAATAGTCAACATCATACGGAATTCTTATGATGGATTCAACTGAAAAATCGTGCACGGAGGTCAGCTGACAGACTCTTTCGAGGTGATGACCGGTGT